CAGTGCATCAGAAAGAAAACTATTCATATTTGGGAAAAGAACCAATGTTAATAATAAAATTAGTTGTTAACACAGCTGCAGTGTTTCTTGTTTCAATATCACATCTGGATCCAGAATTTTTATTACTGACAGCTTCTGTCGCATTTACCACTTCTATACCTATTCTATGACATTAGGGACAAAGCTTCTCAGACTTGTGCTACAGTTTTACCTGTTTATCAGTTATATAGCAGAAGTGAACACTTCAAAGAACCAGTGCTTACATGTGGATCCTCCAGACTGTCTTGTGTTCTGCCTCTTTTCCAGGTATATAAAAGCAAGAGAACTGTCAGAGGAAGGGAGGTAATAAAAAGTGCCCATATAAAACAGTTAATGTGTAGATTAAATTGTTTGCTGGTTCAAATAGTCTCATTCAGTGTTCTCTGTTGAGGACACATCTCCCTGGCATTTGCCCCTTATCAGCAAAACACTCATGACTTTAATGGGACTGCAGCTTGCCTAAGACAGAGTTGATTTTTCTGAAGTGACAAATAAGGTCCTGGCCATGTTGAACCTAACTAGTGGATGGAGGGAAGCTCTTTTCCCTCTCACACAATACTAGAAACAGGGGAGAGCCACTCAATTTGAGTGTTGGGAGAGTGAGAAAAAACAAAAGAAAATATTTCTTTACTCAGCGTGTTGTTAGTTTGTGGAACTCCTTGCCACAGGATGTGGTGATGGCATCTGGCCTAGATGTCTTTAAAGGGGATTGGACAGATTCCTGGAGGAAAAGTCATAATGGGCATGTATAATCTCCAGGCTTAGAAGGAAGGTACCTCAAAATGCCAGTTGCAGGGGAGGGGTATCAGGAGGCAGGTATCCATTTGTCTCGTGTGCTCCCAGAGGCATCTTGTGGGGCCCACTGTGAGATACAGGAAGCTGGACTAGATGCCCCCCTGACCTGATCCAGCAGGGCTCTTCTTATGCTGTTATAGTTTAACATGCCTTATCTGTATGTTTTCCCACCCACTAAAGGCAAATACATTGCAAACAACACTGATTAGTCAGATCTTAGAATGTCTTCTCTGTTTAACATGTTGCATATCCCTTTCTCCCCTCCCCACCCCCCCAAAAAAAAACCTGCCATGCCTATCAGTACTCTAGTAGACAGAGTGATGGACTAGGGCTCGGGAAGCCTGGGTTTGAATCACACCACTGTTATGGAAACTCAACAGGGAAATGGAATGGGTAAAATCATTCCTTAAATATTTCACCTACCTTGGAAGCCCTATGAGGGTGATTACAGCAACAACAATGCAGCTAACCTGTGCTAATCCATGTCAACCAATACGGTATTAGCAATATTTACTAGTAGCAGCTCTTTCATAGAATTGACGAATATTAACTGCCCATTCAAGACTAACCTATGCCTCATATGTCACAAAACCACATCATAGCTAGAAAAATTCATGGACCTTATCTTAACATGCCCAGCTGACAGGAGTCAGTACTTTGGTTTGGCTTGTGCCCAATAAGCCAAGGAAATAACTCTGGAACAAGCCATAGATTATTTCATGGCTCGCCCAGGAAGAGACAAGACAGAGAACCGACTCTTGCCGGATTTGAATATCACACTGAGGTCCAGGATTTGTTCAGGTATTTGTGCTATAAACAAGAGTTATTAGCCAATACACACCAGCCAGTTTTGTGTTACTGTCAATGTTAAAATGATTATTTAGAACCACCCCAACTAATTTTTGTCTGTCATTAATCAATTGGCATCTTCAAAAATAAATCATCAGAAATCATAAGCTACTTGCTTATGTTACTTGTGTAATTGCACAACAGGAATTAAGCTATTGATTGCTGATTAAGTAGGACAATACAGCTCCAAACTTCCACAGCTAATTCCTCTCAGTAATGTGGCATTCTGTTTGTGATCAGGACAATTCATTTGTAGACTGCAATGTGAAAATTTGAACAAAATAAGTAATTATTTTAAAATTCTGATCTTTGAGGCACATCTGTTGGTGGTCATTTCACAATAAGCAATTCACAGCATTAAAGAAGTTACTTCTGCCCTGTGAGCTTTGCTCATGTTAAGGAATAGCCCTCTTATCACCTAGTACTATTACATTTCTCCATTGTAAGATTTTAATAAGTTCATCAAGATTTGCCTGAGTCCTACATTTGATTGGATTTTACATTTAATCAAACATGTCACAAGAAAATAATGAAAGAAAATGATTTTTAAAAATCATATAATCTGTAACGGGGAACAGAATTTTAGTTACACATTCTTACCAAAGTATTATGTTCGTATTAATAATAATTGTATGCCATCAGATCAATACTGATTTCAGAAGAGGTTTACCATTCCTTTCTTCCTGGGCATTCTGGGACTGTGCAGCTTCACAGACCAGCTTTTTTCTTGGGAAGCACAGTTGGGAATTGAGCTCCTAGCCTCTGACTCCACAGCCAGATATTTAACCACTGAGCTATCCAGACAGTATTTAGACTGTATGCAACTTGATAATATAGATAGTATAGTCAAAGACATTCTGCTACTGAAGAGAAAGAAAATGGAGGTGACACCCAGGGTGGATTCAGGGCTCTGGTGGGCCCTAAGCAAAAAATATAATAGTGGGGGACATCCCTCCCCCTTACTTCCCTCCTAAATAGATCACACTACATGAACAATGTAGTATAACATAAATAAGACTGACTCACTAAGGTAATCCTGATAACAGTAAATAGGTGAACAATGTTTAGGTAAACAAACAAACAACATAATAATGAAAAAAAGTCTAGCTTATGAGGGAGGAGTGAGGCAAGGGAAGCCTAAAGCTGAGCTTTGAGACACTCTGCCCAGAAAAGAGAAAAAGTTGTGCACATTGTGTGCAGAACATGCAAAGGCTGCAATGCACAGCAGGACCCATGTGGAATGGAGGGAGACTGCCTGTTGTGTAGGTGTGCAGGACTCCGGGCTCAGGTGTGGGAGCAGGTAGAGGGCCACAGGTGCTTTGAAGGAACAGCTGCCACCACTCAGCTAAGGGCTCTGGCAGGAAGAGTGCCTCTGAACCTAAGCAGAGTGCCCCATGTATCCTAGACAGCCTTACTTCCCCCCTTCCTTACCTTACTTTTGTTGGGAGAGGTGGCTCTTGCTGAGGCACACGAGCTCCAGGATGCCACTGGGGTGGCTGGGGGTGAAGATAGCCATGTGCACCTCCAGGGGCGCAGTGCCCATGAGGGCCCAGAAGACCTCCTGGAGCAGGTCCTCAATGTGCAGGAGGACACCCTTCTCCTCATCAGGTGGTGGTGCCCAGCAGCACCTCCTGCAGGTATGCCTCATGCTCATGCAAGACAGGAAGAAGATCAGCCATCCGGACGGCACTCATGGCAGCTGCAGTCTGGCCTCCAGGGGAGCAGGGAAGAGGTGGAGGAGGGTGGTATACCAACCAGAAGGTCCCGTGGCTCTTCCCTGGATATGGTGGTGTCAGGGCGTTGGGGCAGGATGTGGTATACAAAAGAACTCAGCACTGCCTGCTCACTGTCCAGCTTCCACGGCTCACTGTCTAGGAGCACCAACTAACCTGGACCAGCTTTACCCTCCCAGCTCCAAAGGCTCCTGCCTGCCTGCTGCTCTGCTCTGGCTGCTCCATCCCCCTCTTCATATAGGCCCCTACAAACAGTGGGCCCTGGGCAAATGCCCACGTTGCCCTCTGAATAAAGTGGCACCTAAGCATTCCACTTACACAAGCCAACTGCTCAATCATTCTTCAGTATTGACCATGGGATATCACACCTCACTTGAGGTCAAAAAGCTCTCTCAGGGGGTCCAGTCCAAGCTGACTGAAACACAGATTGCAGTGCTCCCATATGAGTAGTACACAGCTGCCTCCTTCCCATTACCCAGCATATGCTGCCTGAAGAGATGGACTGCCTCTGACTTTTGGTAAGGCAGACTTTGAATATAGATAGCGATATCTATACTGAAAGAGTATTAGCATAAAGTAAGAGGATGTGTGACAAAGCTATAAACATGCAGCAAGGCTGACACTGTATGACTGACAATACATTGACTAGAGTAATGTCAGTCTGAAACAGCTTATAGATGTTTCAAGTGCAACTATTCTTATTTAGTTGATTAGACTTATTTTTATATGCTGTTCCTCTGCTTTTACCTAAAAGGCAAACGTGAACTAATACAATAAAATATTGCTGAACTTGGAAGAAAACAGGCAAGGAAGTGCCAGTGTATAATCCAATAAAGAACTACCCCCCTTTCGTTCCTGGTTTTTGTGTTTAACAGCTTTTTTTTTCCTCAGCCAAACCAATAACCTCAGGCAAACAACTTATATTAAAACAAAACAAAAAACAACAAAAAAGTGCTGATCTGGTAACATTTTTTTTATTTACAGAGAGAAACTGTGAAGCCATAGCTTCTCATTTCTGCATGTGACACTTTGCCGGCACCGTGATAAGTATGGAACAGATATCTTTATTACTCGGTTTCCAACTTTGTTTCTTCAGAGAAGGTCTATACTTTTAATAACTGTGTGACAAGTGGAAATGAGTAGGTGCAGCGTTGCTTGCATGGAGATGCAAGGGTGGGCAAAAGTGTATCTTGAGTTTATTCTGTTGTGGTGCTGCTGTACATTCAATATTCCATTGGGCAAAATGGCATAGTTTTCTCTACATGGGGGTATGGGAGAGGAATATGTAGCTGCTCCATATGGTGTTGGCCTCCAGCCTCAACCAGCCTCAATCAGCATGAACAATGGCACTGGACACCAACAACATCTGCTTCCCTACTCACCTCTATATTGTATAATTTTCTGAAGAAAACTTTGGGTTGTGCTCTTGGGCTGAATCTGATCTTAGGCTGAAATGTTCTTACACGATGGAAATGAAATGAAATCAAAACAACAAAAGCAGAGGTTTTCTTTTCCTTTTGGTTTATGGGTAGATTGGATTGGATTTGTGAAAAACAACTTAAATTAAAATAAGAAAAAGCCCATGTAAACTAGATTAGGGGTTTAAGACAATATTTGTTCCTCTGTCACAATAACACTCTCTTCCTAGAGTGTGGTCTCCTATTAAATCCTTTCCTCTTTGCCTTTCTTTTGTCTGACTCTCATGGCCTCATCCTACCCTTGAAAGCAACAGCTGCCTCCTCCTGTTTGGTTAGTTGATAAATTATTTTGACATTGTAGAGACATCAGGGAGGTTTCTCTAGCCAGTTGCAGCTGCTGGGATATTGTATTTCTCAAATCCATTAGCAGGAACAAAGAAATTCAGGGAGCCATCGCTGAAATGAGCAAGGATAACACAATTAAAAATCAAGACACTTTCAAAGAAGTGCAATAAGCAAAGTTTGTTTGTTTCTTTGTTTTAACAGAAAAAAGTCACCGAATTGTGAGACAATGGTCAGACTCCTAGTGAGATTTTACTTCAGTGTAAGTCAAATCATGTAAGTTGCATTGGCAAATTGCAGACACATAGCTGGCACCTTGTTAATTAGATCCAATTTGCCACCATGTCTTATATACTCCAGAGTATGATTCCACTTGGTTTCGTTTGTCACCATGTCTTATATAACTGCTCATACTCCAGAGTATGATTCCACTTGGTTTCTCACCAGTGTCGTGGAGCTTAGCTACACAAGTCTAATGGGCATTTATTGCTTAAAAACTGATGGCATATAAGGTTTCTTCATATATAACTGAAACAATCGTAGAAAATTGCCCCATCTAACCGTGTGCAAGACATGGAGAATAGGGAAATTTTCAGTACAGAAGGCAAAACAGGCTTCTTGCCTGCAAAGTTAAGCTTTGTTTCTAATGCGCAAGTCAAATTACAGTAGGACTACTGTATTCACGAGATCAGCACCTGTGGCTTCACTTATCTGCTGCCTAAAAATATTAAATAAAACCTCCCAAAATATGCATTTCCAAGGCATATTACTAGGTCTGGCCACTAGAGGGGACCTGAAATGGATGAATATATCTATCTCTTTGAAATCAGGCAAACAGAGGATACAGGGCCCATCAACAAATCAACTGGAGTTTATTGAATAACAGGATTACTAGTGGTTCTAATGGAAAATTCATGCCATACCTACCTCACTACACAAATAGCAATCATTCAGTTTGTGAATTGTGCCTCAAATAAGCTTAGCTAAATTGTCCAAGAGATATATCTCAGCTACTTGACCAAGCACATTGTGATTCCACCAGGAAGGTTCAGAATGTAGTAGCAATTCTGGCAGAAAAAATGCAGAATAGCACCTCTGCTATTTCCAGTTACTGACTGGAGACAATAGGGACTCCTCCCAGCTATTTTGGAAGGGAAAGACTTCACCAGGGAGAGGGGCTCATGAAGAGCGTCTGTGGGCCAGCTGGTGATCCTCCATGGACTGGATTATGTTTGAAAGCTGTGTAGTCCCCTGTTTTATAGTATAGAGATGCTGGTGGCCTTAATGGAGAGCCAGTATGGTGTAGTGGTTAGAATGATGGACTACTACAGCTCAGGAGATATGAGTTCAAATCTCCACTTGGCCATGAAACCTTGAAAGCTGTGTAGTCCCCTCTTCTGTTTTATAGTATAGAGATGCTGGTGACCTTAATGGGGAGCCAGTATGGTGTAGTGGTTAGAATGCTGGACTACTACTGCTCAGGAGATCTGAGTTCAAATCTCCACTTGGCCATGAAACTTACGTGGTGGCCATGGGCCAGTCACAGCCTCATCCACCTCCAGAGTTGATGTGAAGATAAGTTGGAAGAAGGATAACTGTACACTGACTGCCTTGAGGTCAGTGGAAGAAAGGTAGGATATAAATACAACAAAGAAAGAAAGAAAGAAAATGGAAGGAGAACCTACTTTATCCTTACCTTTTCCTGTGAAGAAGAATGGTTTAAATTTCGCAAGTGTGGCTATAGGATGAGCTGAATTCTGCTGAGATTTATCTAGCTAATTGCCCAAGCTACCCTTCCAAACTTCTAAGACTTTTCTAGGAAGGATTAAAATATGGTGCTGAGCTCAAATCAAGAAGTTTCAAGATATGTGTGTGGAGAGGACATTTCCCAGAAAAAGTGATGGCAACAATGACTACCTCTTCCCTTTGTGTTTACCTACATATATATTTCATAGTTGCCACACATCTTGCTTGGGGTAATGCTGTGTCATTATATGGATTCATTATGCAATTTCATCCCACACTGACAAGACTATGCTTTAAATCAAGAAGGCACTGAATAAAGTTGCTCCACAGTCACTTGTTCCACTAACTCCCATGCTCTGCTGACTTAAAATATACATAGATTTTCTCCAGTACTTTCCCCCACTGCCTTTGAGTGGCTGCCCACCAAAGGAGACGGACTGGGAACCACTGAAAGGGTTGAAATGGCTCCTTACTTTCACAGGCTGCAAACAGACCAGAAAAGAGTATTTCCAGCCCATTCTTGGAACTCCATCCTTTTGAATGATCATAGTAATGTACATTATATGTCATGCTCCTCTGTTGGTTTTCAGCAGTGCAGCTAGATAATTTTAGATTTACAGCTCTTACATGGCAGGGCAGAATGTGTATTAAACTTAGTTGCGACTCACACAACATATTTCTTCTCCTTGTGCCATGTCAAGCTTTGTAACAGACTCGGAAATGTTACTACCACCTGCCCCACCCTCAGTCACCCAAACTGTTTGCCAGTCATGACTGGGTGAGGGAATGAAGCTTTTCCATTATAAACTCACTGCATTATGCCACCTTCATGACTATAAGAATGAAATAGATTTTTCTGGTGATCTTTTTATTTGCTGCTGTACGGGCAAGGAGGTGGAATTCTGTGTTACTGTGTATTTGGTTGTGAGACTTTTCAGAAAGTGTTTTTTTTTTTACATAGGAACCCATGCACATTCTACTGCACTTTTCTAATATTCACATTTATTTATGTGGTTTTTCTGACTTCAGTAAAATTATATTTATTCTTTTTTTCCCAATTGCACACATTTAGCTATTTACATTTTAAAATATGTTCACTGACTTCTTTGCACTTTATTTCTCTAAAGTGCCCTATGAGTCTTGAAAAGGTGCAAATTCTTGAAGTAAGATGTGTTTCTACTTGCAAGAGCCTCTAGAGAAAAGAAAAAGCTGCATTCATTGAACCTTCCAAATCCAATGAAATTCTTTCTCCATCCAATGGAAAATTTGGGGACATGTAGGTATTGTGATATAGTGGATAGAATGATGGACTAGGACTCAGGAGACCTGGAAATTCACTTGGAGAGTGAAATTAGTAAAACCACTCCTTAAATATCTCACCTTGAAAATCTTATTAGCGTCACTATAAGTTGATGGCACACAGCAAGCAAGCAAGCAAGCAAGCAAGCAAGCAAACAAACAGCAACAGATATTGTGGAGCCCTAGATTTGCTTGAAGAGATTGCTTCAGTTCATCCTTTGGATGAATAGGTATTTGGTGCTTCCCAGCTCTGCCTCCTCCAGCAGGCGCCCACTCAAAGGCAGCACCTGGAGGAGGCAGGGCAGGGAAAATGGGGCACTGCCTTTGAGTGGCTGCCCACCAAAGGAGACGGACTGGGAACCACTGAATTCTTGTTCATCCAAACTGCCAAACTGGCGCTTCATGCACATCTCTACTGTTAACCATACTGATGGCCTGCTTTAATTCCATGGACTGGAGTCCACCACTTTCTGTCTTTTCCCCCTTGAAAGTTATTGCTCAAAAAAATCCATACTAAGGAACGCCACATTGAAAATTATACAAATTGTTTTCCTCCTCACAGGAGGATAAGTTTCTTTAAAAGTAGATTCTACTAACACTTGAATTAAGGGCACCATGAGCACACAGCCAAATCACATTGCTGTTTTCAGAAAAACTAATCTTCCCTATGATTTATTTACCAGGGAATGTCTTTAGAACAACAGAAACCAGGTGACAGTTTCCTCATTTAGCACTCATCCATCATTACCTTGAAGCTGTCAGTGTGGGTAATTCAGTCTTGATCTGCTGTAATTATTCACTCCTTCAAATTCTGGGTTGTTTAAGATATCATTAAGTCTGAAAGGAGATGAATTTAACCCACTTCTGTGAAACAGAGTCAAAATTATGTTATTTAAACAGACCTCAACTTTCAAATGCAATTCTCTTGGCCAACTAAATAAATTAATTAATAAATAATATTCTTAAAAAAAATAACAGACTGACAGAGAAAGTGCAGCCTTCCCTTTGCACTAGCCTATGCATCAGAAAATGAGTGATGAAAATAAATATTCTAAGACAGTTTGCTGATGCTTCAACAATTTGCGCCACCTAACAGAAAGCACTCAAATTCAAATCTGCAGTATAAGAAATCATATTTCATGAGACAGCCTAAAGGCTGATTTAAATGCTATCTAAGTAAATCAGCTCTTACCTAATGCACCATCCTGTATACACCCATATCGGAAGAGGAGGGGCCATAGCAGACTGGTAGGATATACACTTTTTGTATAGATGGTCCCACATTCTTTCTTCAACACTGACTGGGCTGGAAAAGACCATATCTGAGAGTCAATGATTCTTGGCAGTTAATATAAATGTATATAAATATAATTGGATCAGCTTTTAACGGGGACTTTGGCTCAGTTGGCAAAATGTTTTGGTACAGCCATGCAGAGCACTGACAGCATATTTTACTCTGTCATGTGATCATCTGGGAAACTGTAAAATGTACTGACTAGAAGTGACTGTCAAGAAACATTCTCGGACATGGTCTTTTCCAGCCCAGTATGGAATGGTCTATATATGGCACAATTACTAGTGCAGGAGGTTAGTTTAGGCCCATATTGCTCTGTTTTCCCTGAATTTGCTATCATTCCTCACTTATGCCCAGTAGTTGAAAACTAAGGCAAATGCTTCATTCTACTTAATGGCAGGGCTAACACTGCTGGCATGCTTTAATAATCTATTACACCAATCACACCCAAGAACAGTCAGCTTGATTGATGAAAGGGCCCTCGAAATGTGTGTCTAGTAGTGTCATCACAGGGCTGCAAAGGTGCATGCCTGATCACACTAGAAATGGTCACTTTGATGGGAGTGATCACGCTTAAAAGGACTCTTGCGTCTGCTGGGAAATCATTCTAGCCCAGCCCCCAGAAGTAGAAGCTTCTGGGGGCTGAGCTGGAATGGACCAGAGCCAGGCTGGAGTGGATTTCCTCATATGTCTTGTGATTGCCAGGAAATAGATTGTTCTAGACTGCTCTACAGGTGGTCCATATTGCAATCTATTTTCCCATATGATCCCATCCTGGAATGCCAAATACGATTGCAAGATTGAAAAATAAAATTAGTAAACTTTCTTGACAATTGTGATGAGTTTGCCATCCATTTTGAGGATAAACTTACTTGACAATTTAGGGAGTGGCAATGTAAGTTGATTTTTGTGTGGGATGGGAGCACCAATAGCTATGCTCATTACTATAAATTGATAGAGATTAAAAGTCTCAAAGTTAGGCTTAAATCATTATGGGAAATATTAGGCCACCATCTTAGAAATTCTGGGTTATTGCTTATGCAGAGGGCATGGGAGCAGAAACCTCTCCTTTTCAGACTCAGACTTAGCAATACAACATGGGCAAAGCAACAACGGAAGAGGAAAGGCCAGATACTCCTCTGTAAGAATAGACAAACCTCTAGATTCAGTAATGCCTGAATGGCACATATTATGTTTGTACATATGAATCAGGGATAGAGAATATATGGACTCTGCTTGTAGGCAGGGATGCTGGCAAATCTTTGCATCCGAGTTCCAAGCCCAGTGTGACTTAAGTTCAATTTGATAGTGAATCCCGTGACTTGAGTTCCCATCCCTGTTAGTAGGTGCCACTGGATTACAGTGATTATAACTCCCATTGTCCTTCACCATTTCAGGCATCTTGAAAAGCCAGGTGGGAAATTATGTGATATAATTGCCATGAACTAGCAAGCAGGGCTGGCCTGTGATCCAAGGAAGCAGGAAATGACATACCTTTCCCCCCCAGTCATGTTACAGGCTATAGGTAATTATCTATTACAGATAATCTATGGTGGATAAGAATGGGAAAATTAAATGAAACACACTTTTTTTAAAAAAAATCTGTTTCATAGATATTATGAAGCTGTTGTCATCAACAGCAAAAACGGGCAGCTGTACAAACAGGATAGCTATCGGCTGTAACATTTAATCAAAGAAGCAGATAAAAATTCAAGTGATTTAGAGAAGAACTCAGGTATTATTATCAGCTTGAAATCTAAGACAGGCTCCCCCCCCCGAAGTCATCTAGAATGGCTATGAATGTCTTATGTTTGAAATGGGTTATTTCAAGCCTGTTACTTTGTGGAAAAAAACAAAAACCTCTCATAAGATTTCACAAGAAGGCTTTTCACAATAACCTGAGATGCAGAGTCACTGTGTATGTTTTCCTAAATAGGTCAGTGTTCTACAGTATTTTCTGCAATTGTATTAGCTTTGTTTTCAAACTGAGATAGCAACGCGACGGTTCCTTGATGCCTTGCTATGGTTTTATTATCCTATATCAGGTTGAGATTTAAAGATAGACATTCTCCCTGCCCCTTCTTAATGGAAAAGCTGCACCTTTGATTGCTCAGAATGCTTTTGCTGAAGGGCCAGAAACTCTGAGAGAAAAAAGTGGCTGCATTAGAAATTAGGAATGTTACTTTTTCACCTTAAAGCTTACACAAATGCCCAGATTCTGAGAGATTGGCTAAGGCAAAACCCTTCTGAACTCTGGATAGCCTTACTGAACAATTCTGCCAGTGGTGGCAGGATGAGATCATCTGATTTCCAAAGCCTGCCAGCTAGGGAAGGAAAGTGGCAGCCACAGACTGAGACACATTTATCCCACAGAGAATAAACTGCCTCTACTCAGATTGTGGGTTGACCATAGAAATAAGTGACATTTACTTCCTTTCTCAGTGTTGTGAAAGGAAAATAATCGCCTTTTGTGAAGTTTTCAGTTCCATGGGGTGGGGGCAGAGGTATCCTTTGGATCTGCTCCAGACAATACCCAATGCATCCCAAATTTGGTCCCATTGCCAGTGAAGCACCTAATGCAGTCATGATAGCAGAAACTCCTCCAGTGTGGACCTCTAGCTCCAGACATTCCATGTCATGGGCAAGGTTCACTCTACACCTATGGAGAGGAGTCTCACAGCATCCAAGAACCCCTTGGATTACTTCAGGCATCATGTGGGGAACTGTCTAAAATTATTTGTTTTGTTTTCACCTCAGGCAATAATGCCAAACAGTTTTGGGAAATGTTATCTGACAATTTTGCCTGTCAGTCTGAATAAGCATAGCAAAAATTTCTTGAAATATATTTATTACTAATGATCTTTCCACATATCTTACCACCGTTGTGTCTGGATGTATGACAGTGAGTCGTGTGTATCAGTATTTCCTTACTGTATGATTTACTGTATTCTCCCACTCCAGGAAAAAAAAATGCTTGAAGAACCTGTCCAAATTTTGTGTTGAAGAGTATAAGAGCATCTTCACCATTCAACTCTCTTGCACATGTTATCACAAGAAATAAATTAGATTCTTGAATATGATATTGTCTTTAGGGCTCAGCTGTAACTTTTAATGAATAAATACATTGGAGACCTGCAAAACAATTAACAGCTCTTATCCTGTGTGGGAACAATAAGATTAAAACACCAGTGGCCGAAGGATTTATGAGTTTCAAATTTATGCTTCTTTCTGTGGATTTGATCTTCATTAAAATTGTGTTTGAGGACTTAAGAAGAATTAATATTCTAGACACTCTGGGAACTTGTTGCAGGGTGGGACAATTAAGTCAATAGTATTTTGCATTCTATTCAGAATCTTTTAGATCAAAATAAAAGATTAAACCTAGTTATTAGTCCCAGTGAGAATATTCCATTGAATGAATGGGATTTATTAAGTCACCACTAATGTGGTTCACTGGATCTACTGTAACTAAGACAAACAACTATGTCCATGTACTTTTATTCTACAGTATATGAAATGCTATGGATGTCTATTAATAACTGTTCCAGGGTTATAGTAACAATGCATATAACTACATGTAATTAATTTGCATCAAATGGACAGATACTTGTTGAGTGACCAGGTTTATCTTGTTATTTCATGTTCTGCACAAAACTTTAATGAGAAACAATAGGAATCTGGCTTAGTTGTTGAGCAGTCACTGAAACTGCATGGAATATGAAGTTTTCTCCTCACCCAAGAGCAGAAGAATGTTATTTTTACTATGTGGAAAAAATTACTTATAATTTTGGCAATCACTCTATTCATGGAAGGCAGCCCATCTAGGAGAAGGAAAACTCCGATTTCAGACCTCCACTGCCTTGTGGCTATATCCACTCATGGAAAAGGCTTCAGGAGTTACCATAGAGGCAAAATCCGGAGCTGGAGTCCCAAAGGCAGCTTCTGTCGTTCTGCCAACTCCTGTGACATTGCTGTAACCAGTTGTATTGGCTCTTGCCTTTCCATTGGACCATTTCAGCAATGTGGAGAGAGGGGATCTGCTGCTTGGGTAACAGCCTATCCTCCATACTACCTTACCCGGGCTTCATGCTCTGGAGAGGACAATCCTCGATTCAGAGCATGTCACCATAGTCTCTCAAGACTGAAGGATGCCTATGACTCTATTCAGACATTCTATAAAAGACTAACTAAATCTGTTTAGAGGGGGCATGTGTTAGCCATGATTCCTTTGTTGCTGATCATGAGGAGCCTTATCAGGAGAGATTTCTCTCCACAGTGAGGCTTTCTGTGCAAGCCAGGACCCTGGACGATTAGGCTCAAGAATTGCATACAGGCAGCTGTTCAGGCTCTGATGTTCCCTGCACCATTGATAAAGCGGCGAAGATGTTTAGACAATCATCCTCATGCATTTAGATATATATCCCTTTTACAGAAGGCAAAAATAGGGCTTGTAGGTGTATTCTTAACTAAATAATAGGATTAACACTTTTTCCTATTACACATAAGCATCAATTGAGAAAGTTATTCTAATTAATTCTTGCTGCAATATTGGTGGTAAGATAGCCAACAACAAATAATGTCAACATAAAATTAATATCCTGCCTTCTGGCTTAGGAAAAAAGCACAATCAAAGCAGCTCACAAAATATGTTACAATAAAATTATAATTAAAACATTTAGAATTACCAAAATGCTAAAAGCATCATCCAGAAGCACAATCAATATAAGCAGCCACAAGAGTCCATGGCTTCCTCCAAAAGATTTCCAAAAGAAGACAAGATTTAGCATATTCCAAAGCATCAAGAGAGCAGCGGCTAAACATTAGAACAGAAAGGTTTAGAGGCGTGCTACCACTACACAACGGGAATATCATTTGGAACAAAATTGCCAAATGTTTTCAAATTTCTTCAAAAGCCAAAAGGAAATAACTTTTGATTTCAAAACTTCTGTTGTGGGGTTGACAGGTTATCTGTG